GGGCGAGGATAGCCATGCCATCATACCTTCTCCATTCTCCTCTTGGGATTTTGAATATGCACGCACACGCACCCAGGGTGAGTTTCAAGCCAACGAGTCCAGGACTCAAACCACGGTTGACAACCTTAACCACTAGGTCATCTGCTGGCCCCTGCATCTACTTTTCAAACCTGAATTTACTCATTAATAACCATATGTTGCAATCTCAAGAGTTCAGTCTTTAAGTATTGTATCTGAGTTGGACAAAGTTGTTAATTTTGTTGTAAGCCAATGTGACTATATATATGCACTATGTCCAGTTATTTTAAATTATTTTCACTTTTGGCCAGAGAACATGTGTGCTCACCAGAGAAGGAGAGGAGTGGGTCAGTAATCCCCTTCCCCAGTGTTTCATCAATTCTCCACTCATCGGCAATAGCAATAGGGTGGCCCCAGAGTGCAGCAGTTAAGCGTGGTGCATAGGGAGCTGGATCCCACAGGGCTGACCATGGTTTGCGTCCTGACCTGGTCAGCTTGAAAAACATGCCAAGCACTTGTGCACGCCCAGGATTCTGATGGGATGAAGAAATGGAAGAAAAACAACTGCAGCATACTCACGCCCCATTGTGGGGTGCTTCATTCTCTGGTGAGTGAGTGTACATGAATTCTATAGCAAAAATGTCTAAAAAAAAATAAAATAAAAAAAAGATTTTGGAGTCAGGAATGAAGTCTAGGTTTCTGGCTGCAGTGACTGGTTTGATCCTGATGCCCTGTGTCCAAGTAGGGAACACAAACGAGTGAGCAGGTCTGACAACTTCCACCCCTTTTCTGCCCCGACTGGCCCCGACCAGCTGTTCCGGTAGCATTAGTCCTAGCTCTCCAACATGGCACACAGCCCTGCTTTCGGTCAGGACTCCTGGCTGCGTGTCACAGAGCCCCACTGCAAGGGCAGAGCATGTTGGAGTCTGTTAGGAATAAGAGCAGAAGAGAAATAGGCAGAAACTTCTTTCTCTGTTTCTGTTAAATCGCTTCCTCTTAGACCTACTCCTTTTTAAAAAATTATTTTATTTTATTTAATTAATTTATTCATTTGTTTATTTCAATTTAACTAGAGAGGGACAAAGTGAGAGAGAAAGAAAGTGAGAAAGCAAGCCACCCGGTTCAGGACTCAAACCGTGGTAGTCCATGTGTGAATCCAACACCTTTAACCACCATGCCACCTGCTAGCCCCGACTTACTCCTTTTTGAATCATTTGCTCTAATTTTCTAATCAATGTTGGTATTTGTGAGGCATTACTTATCTGGTTCTTAAAATGTTCAGCATTTCTCTTTCTGCATTTGGTCTATGGAGGTGCAGCTCCCCCTAGTGACACAATTTACAACTTTCCCGAGTCATCAGAAATGTTGATAATCTGTAATCAATTATTTTTTTTAGCCACTACCTGAAATTTTCCTATTTTTTTTCTAGGTAAGTAGAACAATTATGTCTCTTTGTGAACTAGCTTACTTTTTTGTTAAGAAGGAACTCGCGATATGGCTCTAAAAAACCATTTATTATTTTGATATTTCAATTAAAAATGTTTTGGGTCTAAATAGATTTTTTTACATTTAATACATTTTGAATTTTCAAAAGTTTAAAAGTTTATTTTTTAAAAATGTTATTTTCTAGGGTTATAAAATCTTATATTTCTAAAAATTTTTTTTTTTCTTTTTTTAGTTTTGCTATAGTGATTGTGTGC